AAGTCCACATGTGAATAATCGCGTACCAGAAGAACGTCATATGTGATCACAGATCTACTCAGTTTAATGAAACGCAACTGTGCAAGCTGAAACAGAAATATGGGTATTTACGAGAGAAGTCTGGACTGTATTTTAGCAGAAATAAAATGGCCGATTACTATCAATTATATCGTCGTAAAATGGAAGCTTACTGGTGGAAATAAGCATGAAATGTGTACTTTAATGAAACATTACAAGTTTTATTAACGTTCTGAGACACAGTTAACAGTGAAATATTGGGAAAACTCTTCATATAAAGGTTGACATTAATCCTGTAAAAGGCCATAAGTAGGTAAACTGAATTGTGACAGGTTTTTTTAGGCTTCTTGTGTGAGTAATTTGTTTGATATGTCACGCATATACGTAGTAGTACTCAGTAGGTTATGAGTACTCTGTCTGAACTTCTGTTATCAGTAATCAGATGAATGTTTCATATGGTATTGATTCTTACCATACATTACGTGGAAAAAATTCAATGTGTATTCTCGGTTCTCTTATCAATCTTTACATCGATGTCCTCGAACAGGCAATTATAATTCTTATAAAATCATACAGAGAAAGTTCATTTGTAACAGACTTCATATTTTAAGGAAAAATAGGTTTATAATTTCGCCATATATGTGTGTGCCCCCTTGGTAATAATTTTCATATCATCTGATGGACTTCCACAAAACTTGGTATGAATGTGATGCCACTAGAAGCCATCACATATTTGTGCATTTTAATTGCCTATAAAAGTAGCTTGCCGGTCACGGTAGCCGAGCGGTCTAAGGCATGCACTGTCTTCGCTCGCTCGGAAGCCGGGATCGTGGGTTCGAATCCCACTCAGGGCATGGATGTTTGTGTGCGTTTTTCTGTGTTTTTCTACAGGTAGAGACCTTGCGACGAGCTGATCACTCGCCCAAGGAGTCCTACCGTATGTGTAAGATCTAGAAAAACCGAAGTGAAACGGAGAATTTCATGGAGGTAGGCCTAGGCCCAAAATTGGGATTGTAGCGCCACAGAAAAAAAAATAAAAGTAGCTTAATCAATATAGTGATTAGGGTACGGACGGAACGATAGGGATTCAATATCCACATGAAGGGGAATTACCTCTTCTCCACGGTGACAAGACTGGCTGTGGGGTCCACCCAACCTTTTATCAGATGTGTCGGGGTCTATCTCCTGGGAGTAAAGCACCTGATGACGATCCCAGTGGCCGCGCCATCTAAGGCATGAACCGTCTTCTCCCTCTCGAACACTGGGATCGTGTGTTCAAATCCCACTCGAGGCATAGATGCCTGTGTGCGTTTATTCTGTGTTTATGTTGTTCTATGTGTAGGTAGCGGCCATGGATTGCGCTGATTCGCCCTCCTAGAAGTCCTAACGACTGTGTATAGATTAAGAAACTTGAAAAAGCAGCCAAGTTTCGGCAAAGGACTGTGGGGTCATAGATAGAAAAAGTGCCTGGTTCCGTCAGTTGACCACTGACCTGAATACAGTGCTAAGTTTGAAAATGCATGGAGTTATACTTCCAGTCTGTCGTGACGTATTTCTTAATCGATCACGATGCTACGAGTTATTTATACATGCAATAAATGAAACACTAGTGAATGTCCGAACAACAGTTGGAATTAATATAGATAAACAATTATCCTGAGCTATGAGCATCTTCTTTCTCAATTAGAACATAGTTTTCCCTAACTTTACTATAGAACTTACGCCTCCTTCCCTAACATAGACGTGACATGTTTGAACCAACATAAATCTCTCCATTAAGTAAGGGGCACGCGGTAGTGTAGTTGGTTGAGGCACTATGCTAAAAGCCGGAAGGTCGCGGGTTCGAATCCCAATGAGGTCATTTAATTTTTTTCATTTTACGTAATCCTTCTAGCCACACTATGGCCCGGAGGTCGACTCAGCCTCTGACAGAAATGAATACCAGGAATCTTCCTGGGGGATAAAGTTCGATCAGCAGATAAGGCTGGCAACCTCACCGTCGATTGTCTTCCTTCAGTTGTCTGACCAAAATTTTATATGCTAATAATTTCAGGTTAGATTTAATAATATAGGTATGTGATTTATGCGTGTTTTAATTAAGAACATAACATTTAAATAGACAAAAGGCAGATTTATCGCACCTCTGAGTTGTTGCACGAAAACGAAACGTCGAAAACGAAAGGTCTACATAGGAAATTAACCTAAATCGATATAGGAATTGTAAGCCAGATTCACTGCTCGTGTCGGCGTGCGGAAGGGGAGCTTACAAATTCCGAGCGTGCTGCCACCTTTCGAGATGGCGCTTAAGTTCGTCGTACTTTAAATAATTAATACTAATGACTTACATTTGACGAGGACTGAGTAGATACCAGTGGCCGCTTTTTTTTTCTTGGCACTACAGCCCCAGTGGGCCTAGGCCTATCTCCATGAACTCCGTTCACTTCGGTTTTTCTAGATCTTACACATTCGGTAGGATTCCTTGGGCGGGTGATCAGCCCGTCACAAGGCCTCTACCTGTATACAAACACAGAAAAACGCACACACACAAACTAAACATCCATGCCCTGAGTAGGATTCGAACACAGGAACCCGGTTTCAAAGCGAGCGAAGACAGTACATGCCTTAGACCGCTCGGCTACCGTTACCGGCGGCAGTGGCCGTTACAAAAGTATAATTTGACAAACTCAAGAATGAGCATCCGTTAACTTTTTTATTAGACGAATTCTTTAAAGGTCATTAGTATAGTTCCTCCCTCACCTACAGTTTCTTAGAGTAAAACATTAAACTGAAAAATTAATTGTTTTCTAAAAGACGGTTGATTTAAATACGTCGATTTAATGATAAAGGCGAGTGGTATATGGGTACAGGATTTTCCCAAGTCCTACCGACTTTCGCACATCCATTAATATAATCTAACTATAATAATTTCGTCATTCGAACGTCAGCTGGCCGTACGAACCACTGCCGTGCCTAGTTCCTAAACGATGAATAATCTGGCAAAGTGACACATAGATTAAAACGTATATCACTTTCTTCTGTGATAAAAATTGATCAAAATTTCGCTATTTTCCTGCACCCACTCTTCCCGGACTGCTTACTTGTATTATAGCCCAGCACAGGAGAAGAACATATTCTTGTGACATAAATTACAGGGGCTGCTACTTTTGTGCTTAGGAAGATTTTCAGAAATGTATGTAGTAAATAAATATTGTACATTATACTTGACAGGAATCAATAACGGTATTAATTTTTTTTAATGTAGGAACGTTAAGCTCACCGTCCTACACGTATTTATGGCCAACAGGGAAAGGTTACTGGAATATAAACAACCGAGTCTGTGTCGCTTTTAATTCTAAAATTTTATTCGAAGTATATTTTATCGCAAATACGAGTTAAACCAACGAAATATAACGGAAAATTAATAAAAATCTCGTAATTACATGTTTTGTTCAAAACGAGCTAGTTTCTAGCAACGATTAATACGACGTTGCTTCACGAACTTCTACTTAAATATATGGAATTTCGTATTCTTAAAAAAAATCTCTTTCTCCTACTTGTTCTGCGAATTCTATTATTGGTAATTCTGTATTTAAGCATCTTGTTGCTAGCCATATTGAAACGTCTATATATAACACAGTCCGTCAATAATGCAACAAATTGTTCGTCTTTCTTCCATTTATACTTTAACACAACATGTTTCGGCCTTAGATGGCAATCTTCAGGTGTCTTAATATATTAAAACTACTACACTGCATTACTATGCGCTAAAATCACACGCTGTAGTCCACTTAATAAAATAAAATCCATTAACATTTTCTGTTAAAATTTTAATGGATTTTATTTTATTTTATTATCGGTAAATTAGACAACACAGTGTGGCCTGAAGAACTGGTCAAAGTCATTAAAGAGTCCTGTTCTTCAAACAACGGAACTAGGACGCGGTAGATACTCAACTTCCTTTAAAGAGAAGCATAAAGGACACGAACCAAATTTGTTCCATATTTTAACAAAAAGTTTTTTAAACATTACTTTGTAAATAGACTAATTACAAAAATTGATAAATACTTTAACAGATCCATGCGTATTGCAGTAATTGTTAAAGGATATTTTATATTTATGACATTGTAATAGTAGTTTCCGTATGTATTGATAATGTCCTTCTGAAGATGGTCGTTCCGAACGAAACATGTAAAGGACGAAAGATTAAAAAAACACAACATTTATCAGTCACACTGGACGACATGATTAATACACTGATATATTTGGTTTTTGGAATTTATCCATCGTCCTGGTTTTTAAGATAACTAATAAAAACACGACGTTTCGGAAACTGGATCTGTTTCCGAAACGTCGTATTTTTATTAGTTATCTTAAAAACCAGGACGATGGATAAAGTCCAAAAACCCAATATATCAGTGTGTTATACACCATCGTCAGAATCCTATAGTAACTACTTGACATGATTAATGTCTTATATTATTATCAGTAGTTTATTACACACGCTTAAACGGAACCCTTCTTGAAAAGCTTCTTTCAGTCAAGAGATTCTGTGACTTTTATGGATCCCAGAGTGTCATTCTGTTCGTAAGGACCCTACGCCACAACAGGACATTCCACATTCTCACACATTTCAAATATCTATGTTGATATTTATTGGCTTTTCCCTCCTACTTTCCTTTATGTGAGCCGCAGCGTGGCGAGATGGAGGAAAGTACAAACGCTTAAAATGTGTACGTAGGGATAAACTAGCAGGTCAGATAAACTAAAATGCAAGTTAGTGCTGTTGGCTATGTGCAACTGTAATCTCACTGCTTGTTCTGTGGGCAGACGCATAATCATAGACGTCCAAACGGCAGTGTATAAGAAATATCTGTATTTACAAATTCTTCACAGGTTAAAATTTTAATTTGCATCTAAAGTAATTAAATTCACTTTCATTCTTTATTTATTTATGTACAAACTTAACAGCCTATTGGCCAGGTACATAATAAGCACGGTTACAAAATTAACAAAAATAAAATATAATAATAATAATAATGAAACCATTTATTTGTACGTGTTTTGCAGTGAAGATTTAATCTATAATTTCGTTAGTACTTGTCATGGTCCAATTTTTCGAGTCCAGTTTACGAGTGTTCTAATTACTGCATGGAGTTTCGAACTCCCTTCTCGAGACCCCTAGGTTGCAGAATAGTCATCCCCATTAAAACGGAAAATGTACGATAGATGGAGCCGAGTCTTTCATATGAATACAAAAATAATACAGAGAAAATTATATTTCGTTCTAAAATAATATATTCTCCCTCTTTTTAATCTTACGACAAGAAATTCATGCAGGGATGTGTCTACATGGCATCATTTCGTAGTTCTATCTCTGTCAGTTGATTAATGAGTTTGTAATTACTTAAAGATTTGTACATTGTTGAATGGAACGTTGGCTATGAATCATGACTAACCCTGTGGACGGAATGCAACCCTGTTCTAAAGAATTATGTCAGTACTTATGTGTCCGGACAGACTGAATCCGGAATATTTCCACTACGAGACAGATGTACTAGCTAACTACTGGACGGGACGTTGCGATTGGTCTGGTTCTGCTTCTTAGATCCATATAAGTTAAGCACAGTAATTCAAGAGTTTCTCAAAATGTGTATCTTATTATATGTAATTGTATGTGTAAAATAATCGTAGTGCGATTTTACAAAGTGAGATTACACTGGTAATTCTTAAAGTCTTATTTTAATCTTCTGGCTTTTGGGATAGTTTTTATACTCAAACAGAAGGTTCAAACCACATCTGGCTGCTCCAGCTCGCAGTTATCTTCCATCTGCCATGATGATATATTGCTTGGATGTAGTCCAGGTGAGCGGGGTGGCCGTTGCTGTTGCATCAGTGTGCGAGATGCAGTAACTCTCTCCAGCAGCAGTTCCACCACGGATACCATGATACCGGCCAGAAGCAAGATAATAATGGCCATTACTTCTTCCAGCCTTACGTTTGTCCATATTCTCTTTTCTTTGGAACATGTTCTCCTCATACTGTCATAAACCCGATATTTGTACAAGAGGCCATTTGCTCGTAATCTATTCAGGCTGCAACATTGCAAGTACATTGAACTATATGAGTACAGACTATACGATATTCAAGGAGGTTCTGATAGGATGACTCATTTAGATTTGGCAATTTGGCAGTTTCAATTGTCGGAAGGGCCATTGCTTACTGCTCCATACGCCTTCATGGCGTAGTGCTTAATTGGTTAAGAACAGGGACAACTTTATATCCTACCTTACGTACTTGAAGATGGATCTGAGAGACTTGGTNCACTGTACAATTATATTACCGGTAAAGAAGGTAATGCTATCCCTGTAGCAGGTGGTGGAGGCCCATAGGGCTGTGAGACGTCGAGGCTACCACATTTTCTAGGCAACCGGCTCACAGATGGTAGTGAGATTGTCAGCCTTACGCGCCGACCGCCCTTTACCCTTAAGAAGATTCAAAGTATTCATTTCTGTTAGAGTCTGAGTCGACCCCAGGGCCATAGTACGGTTGGAAAGATTAGGTCAATTGAAAAATCCAATGACATCGGGATTCGAACTCACACCTTCCTCCTTGTATCATAGTGCCTCAACCAACTACGCTATCGCGTGCCCTCGTATAATACCGGCACTGAATATTTATACTGAGTGTCACAATGCAAGTCAGTTCTTCTGTACTCCTGCCGCATAATTTTTAATTGAAATATTGAATGATAGGGTTTATGGCATCTACTAAGTAAGTAAAGAAAAGTAAAGTGAAGTAGTCCCTCTGCTTAACTAATTAAGCACTACGCCATGAAGGCGCATGGAGAAATGGATGTATATGTCCCCGCGTCCCTTTGCCCAGGGCTAAAGCGGCTGGGTTGTGATGCTGACCACTCACCTCCAGCTAGTGCCGAGGTCAAGAAAATATGGACCTACATATCTACACATCCATTATGAGAGCTATTACACGTTAAACTGTATGTTATAATTACATATGTGCAAACTCATTGATAATAATTACATTTGTAGACTAAAGTAAGACCACATATAAGATCTAAATATAAATAGAAAGAAAATATTAAAAAGGCTTTAAAAGAAATTGGGTGGGGTTTTTGGACTAGGTTCATCTGAAAGCAAATAGCAATACTGCAATATATCTTTATAAATGTACAGACTCGTTTCTCTAACTTACTTGTAATTGAAGAGTCCTCGATATGGGCTATGCTTAACAATGGCAAAGCCTTGAGGGATATACAAACTAGTTTCACGAGGTAAAGGGACGATTTCACAATCTACTCTGCCCTTGAAAGCCAGCGCTGTGTCCATTGGAATCAAATAAGAGTACTCGGAGTTGCAGACTCTCTGCAGTCCATCCAGTACTGACGGCTGAACGTCGTCTTGGTACGATTCACCAAATTTGCTTTCGAGGAATTGCCTAGACCGCTGTAGAGAACATGGATAAAGTCACGTGTTTAATATGTTATTCCAGTAAAAGGAACATACAGCATAGTCACTTGAAAAGCAGCTGTTTCCGAGGTTTTTAAATCAAAATTAGTGCTTGAACAATTTCAAATACTCTGTTTTCTCACTGTTGCTTAATACACTATCAGTGCATTTACGAAACTTAACATACGAGAAATATCCGGAAAGTGAAGATACAAGTCCAGTAAAAATGCAAGGGATTCTTTTTTCAGAAATGGCAGTGCTGCCTTATGAGATTGGAACGGGTATGACAGGGATGAGTTCACCGGCCACAGTCATGGCGTCATAACCGAAAATGTCACAATCGAATTTTCACCGGCGTAGTAATTTCAGATCTCATTTGCAATGTTAAAAATGTTATTTTGAAAGTCAACCGAAGTTTCGGAGGAACATATTGGTTCCATCTTTAGGGTCAAAACCCTATAATCCTACTTTAAACGTTAGTTAACCATTCTCTATTAAACGTGAAAGGAAGAATGGTACATAATTTTTTTATATTTTGTAAGGAAAACTAGACTTATGGCAACATGTCCATGTGTTTGTCCCAACAATAACGTCTCAGTTGTATGACAGTTACACGAAATATGTAACGAACATCGTACCATCACGATAAAACTCTATCTTTGTACTTTTCAATTTCATACCATCAATGAAATCAAAATAGCGACTATACAAATCTGTGAAGTTGAAACTACATTAACGCCAATGCTGAAATTTAATGTGGTAAGAGTTTTTTTTTTTTTTTGCAAATTTTCAAGGCTGTTAAGGTTTTCTTTTTTTGTAGAATATGGGACTAAAATGTAGAAGTCGTTTGATGCCTATATTTAGCTTTTAGTTTCATAGCAATATTATTTTTGTATGTTAACAATTACGAACATGGTGACGTGAATCTTTGACATTACAACGTATATCAAAAATCTTATCGTGATCGAAATGTTTACTAGCTGAAATTATAAACATAAATAGACCATTAATCATACTGAAAAATTACTAACTTCTACTTCCTAACATACATATATCGAAACATCTGATGAATTTTCTGCTTCCGAAGTTCTTCTCAGAACTTATTTCTCCAAGCATTATTTGCAGCATGAATGAAAAAGCGAGGTGCCGTACCTCGGAGATGTAGTTCTGCGCATGCTTGCTCGACAAACCGAACGTGTAGCCACCTTCCTCCAGAAGACTCTTGAGGTCTGTATAAGGCAGCCTGTTGTCTTGCACGGCCAGGAAGGATATGAAGGTGGCTGAGTACGTGCCGAAGACCATCATGGCGATAATGTAAGTCGAGATGCACACAACCCGGCAGGAGTACGTCTGGGGAGTTGTGTCATGACCTGCCAATGAGGCGACCGGTATAATAACAGGAGAAATTTGTCACAGTGAAAGAGAAATGGAGGAGGCTCCTCGAACCGTTTCTGCTGCATCATACCCAATACAATATCTTCGCTTCGGAGTATCAGTCCTGCTGCCACTCTCAGGAAACGCTTCTCAGTAGCTTTCATCTGTGAGATGAAATTTCTGGAATTAGGTTATGGGGATGGGAGGTGAATGGAACTGTCCAATGGAGCGATTTGGTATCATCGATGTTGATTCCGTGGATTTTTGGTGTGAAACAGGGTCTTGTATATTGAGATCAGAACATATATTTGTCTCAGAGCAAGTTACTTAAGATAATTGTTGGTCCTACGTGGGAGAAGCCGGTCACGGTAGCCGAGCGGTCTAAGACATGCACTGTCTTCGCTCGCTTGGAAGCCGGGATTGTGGGTTCGAATCCCACTCAGGGCATGGATGTTTGTGTGCGTTTTTCTGTGTTTGTGTACAGGTAGAGGCCTTGCGACGAGCTGATCACCCGCCCAAGGAGTCCTACCGTATGTCTAAGATAGATAAACCGAAATGGTGAAATTGTAGAGGCATGTATTACAGTTGAGACAGCGGAGAAGCTTATAGACAATGTTAGTCCGGAAAACAAAAAGAAGAAATCACTAGCATGATCTAGGCGTAGACAGGAGAATAATACTAAAATAAAAAAAAAAAGATAAAGCTATCCCTGTAACAGGCCTTGAATGCCCATAGGGTTGTGAGACGTTGAGGTTCCCACATTTGATCTAGACAATCGGCTCACAGATGGCGGTAAGTTTGTCAGCCTTACGCGCCGGTCGCCATTTACCCCCCACTAAGATTCTTGGTACTCATTTCTGTTAGAGGGTGAGTTGACCCCAGGACCATAGTGCGGCTGGAAGAATTAGGTCAATTGAAAAATCCACCTCATCGGCTTGTAGCATAGTGCTACACGCTGCCGCGTGCCCCGTAATACTAAAATACATTTTTTTTTAAACAGGACAGGAGGCTGTGAATTGGATTTGTCTTGATCAGGACAGGGGCCAGGCTGGCTCTCGTGAACATGGTCGTAAAAACGGTGCATTTCTTGATTAGCTGAGCGACTCTCAGCTTCTCAAGAAGGAATCTACTAGATAGAATTAGTTAATTAGCGCTATGGAGTTTACCAGCAGATACTCAATTACACCATGATAATCAAAATGCGAAAGGAAATGTTCTCTGGGTCCAGGTACCACGTCATGCTCTCGTATGGAGGTGGAAGTAAAGCTGCATATTTTCTTGTTCCTTATACTAGAAGAAGGTGCGTGATTAGTTTCATGCTTCGACCGCCTTGAATATAGCAGGCTTACTCAATGGGTAGGAAACTGGACGAGCCGTAGAGCCTGTCTACACTCGGTGACGAAGAGAAAGACCGTATTCATCCAGGAATCGAACAACGGCCGTCTGACTTCCTAACCAGCCACTTTCCTGACTTGAGTTATCCAATCATCCTGAGTCTTTCATAAAAGCCAATAGTTGCTCAGCTATGGAGAAGCAACTAGCATTTTATGGAACCGAACGTTCTTGTCCGTGCCTTTGTTATTTGAGTGTCGTGCTCTCACCTTGCTGGCAGAACAAGCCGAGAACTAGAAGCAACGAGTCGCTAAGCGTGTAGAACTTGATTTCTTTCGCCTCCTGGTTTCCGTAGCGCTCTCCCAAATAGCAGAGCAGTGTGAGATGGACAGAAATGATGAGGGCCGTTACCACCATAGCTATCCAGAGCATCAGACTGAACGGAGCGAGGAAGTTGTCCCACTGCAGTTTCACTTCGTCTGGAGACTTCACGAAGACACAGTACCTAGCACCAGACTGTCAGTTAAACCTTTGAAGCATGAATTTGATATAAATAATATTTCTTGTCTAATTTCTACCTGAAATATTAACACCACTTCTCCATTACCAAAATCAATTTGTTAGTATTTAGGGAAATGGTCAGTGCTTATGACGCGAACCACATGAAAGCCCATTAATATAGCCTGTGAGCAGAATCTAGAGCCTTTGTTTTCAAGCAGGTGGTGCATATATTTACCACAAATATTTCTTGTCTTTGGAATTTCGTTACAGACAAATTTAATTTCATTTGCATGTATTTGAGTGAACTATACTGTGGCCACGGAAATAAGTCCATGGATTGGCTGGGGGGTGGGGGGGTGACGGCGCTCGGGGCTTCCCACACTGTGTTTACTATTGTATTCCCCTCCACATCCCTCTAACTTGTTTCAAACAGCCCAAAGTGCTTTTCACTAGCAAATTTATCACTATCAACATCCTCATGAACAAAATGGCTATACCACTGGAGGAGAATATAAAAGTTATGGAGGGGAAAGCATAGCCGCTCGAAGAAGTTGTGGAGTGGACAGATTTCTCTGCATGTTTTCCGTACAGTTGACGATCGTGTCGAATGGATCATTCTGATTTAAGTTTCTTTGAACATCCGGTTGTCCTATCAGAGATTTGTATTTAATAGACTGGGTGATTCAGTTCTAAATGCCGTACCTTGTGGAAAGCAAGGGGACGGTGAAGTCGACAACCATGGCTCTTATTCCACTCATTCCGAAAGCGTCCACAGCCACATGAACTTGCTTATCTTGTATCATCTTGATCATACCAGTTGCCGTACCGTTAATTAGCACAGAGCCTCTGCCGCCGTCCTCAGGGAAAGTGAAGTTTGTCCTGCATCATTATTAAAGATATTTATCTAATTTATGGCCCAAGTAGCAACGTGAACGGTAACACTATATTTTATTCATAACATTGTCCTGTGTTCGCAGCAAGATGCGCCTTAGCACTCTAGAACCTGCCCGACTAAACCCTACTCCTGCTGCTAAACTGCACACTCGAGAGCTCTCTCATTTATACTCTGTATTTAACTTCTTGCAGCCGTAATTATTCTCCACATTATACAGACGAATATCAGTTCCGACCTCACAGTAATCACATTACATCTCCATTACATTTTAATGCTGACTTAAAAAATTACAGCTGTGTTTGAGTGTCACACCACACGAGATACATAAACCGCGCTGTATGAATAAAATACAGAATATTGTGACTTGGATGACGCAACAGGATGTAGGGGTCACGTGAATTCTGCGTTCTCGCGAGTGACGTCACATACCCCCACTCCTTCCACCATTACGCAACAGGCCGTGATAAACAATAACCACTATGCCTAGAGGATTAAAGGGCCCTTAAAAAGGCAGGGGACCAACAGACTGTTACAGTTTTAACTAAATGACACGACCAGCTTGGAGGCGAAATAAATATAGTTCAGTATCTCACGGTACACCACGTCCTGTGTTATAATCTGTCTATGAATGCAAGATATAACCAGTGTAAAGGAAATATGAAAGTAATTCAATCTCAAAATGGTAGAAACAAAAAACATGGCTATAGACAAACTTTTTACACTTAGGGCTACTGATGGAATAAAATGAACATTAATATTATATCATAACTCCATTATAAAGTCATTCAATCACTGTACCAGATACAGCTAATTATGACCTCTAGACCCATGCCCAGGTCCAGAAGAATAATTATTCCCTTCAGGCGCAGTGTGTTTTAGTGAGGTAGGAACTAAATTTATGAGCGTTATCAAGATTCGGTCTCGGAATTCTGCCACCAGGTGACAGTTATTGCTAGGTGCCACTAACCGACACCCGGCAACTTTCCTGAATTGTACGATAGCGACCACTGATGTATGAAAATGGAACTCACCCGAACTGCATCCTCTGCTCCAGGACCTGCCATACGACACCGAAATATCCTCCCAGTTTCATTTGACCATCGATTTTTTCAAACGCAGTTATTGGAGGGTTCTGTAAGAGGATATTTTTGATGAAACAAATCTTTCTATCATTCCTGCTGAGTGATTAATCAATGCCTTTGCATTGGCATAATACTACAGTACGTTTCATATTTTATGAAGAAAAATATACAAGATAATTCATAAGTTCTTCCGTAAACCCCGACATTTATTTATAAACACAGTATACCTGTAGACACGTATCTGATCTACAGTGTGATAAGAAAGGTAAAGCTATCCCGTGAAGGCCCATAGGGTTATGAGACGTCGAGGCTCCCACATTTTCTCTAGATAATCGGCTCACAGATGGCAGTGAAGTTGTCAGCCTTACGATCCGGCCGCCCTTTACTCCCCTGGAAGATTCCTGACACTCATTTCTGTTAGATGCTGAGTTGACAGCGTGATTCTAAATTATTGTCGAGGTTTCCTAAGGGACTCATGAATTACCCTGTACTTAAGTTAGTGTAGTGTCTGTATGTTCATGGAGCCTGTGTGTGGGTGGCAATCTATGTTTATTTTAGCAAGTTCTGAGGCAATGGAAGGATTTTCATGAAACATGGTACCAACGTCATGCTGCCTGCATTGAAAACCACTTCACACTTGTATTGTTAAATTTCTGATCATCGAAAATCAACACGGCATTACAGTAATGGAAATAGTACGAATATTTGAAGTTGTCTGACATGTGTGAGGTAGGAACAGATCACGACAGGCTTTTTGGCGTTAAATTTGGGTCTCCGAGATGAAAAACCGGCGCATAATTCTCCAAGCCCTGACACGGCCTAGAAATACAAATTGATTCTAAATTATTGTCGGGTTTCCGTGACCAATAATTTTGAAACCAGATGCAATAAAATAAATATGCTTACGAAATATGAAAATATAACTAAAAGAGATTTATTATTTAAAGAATCAAGACTGCAGAATGCTAAACAGCTTCAATATGCGCGCCTTCCCGGATGCATAATGTCTGAAAACTAAACGCCACGGAAACTCCGACAATAATTAGAATTACTCTGTATTTTTATGTGTTTATTTGAAATATCTGTTAGAAGGTCTGTGGATGTTCACAGAATTTGCTAAATGGACAGCTTCTGTTGCACTATGACCGCTTCGTTCATAGTTCATGAAGAGATTTCATCATGTCAGAACCAGCTGGTTTCAATACTCAGAACAAACGCTGAAATCTTTATTTAAGCAAAGCAAATATATTGTGAATTTGATGTATAACAAATGATATCTTCCAGTTTAATGTACCTCACGCCCGTAGCTCAGTCGGTATAGTGACAGGTTAAGACTGAACAACCGGGGTTCGATTCCCAGCACTGGTAAGAGAGTTATCTCCTCTCCACACTGTCTATACTGGTTCTTGAGCCCACCCAGCCTCCAATCCAATTGGATACCGTGGACTCTTTCCCCTTGGTGTAAAGCGGCCGGGGTGTGAAACTGACCACTCCCCTCCGTCTAGTGCCAAAGTCAAGAATTTTGCAGTTACACTTCCTCCGTCCAATAAGTCGTCATGGCGTTTATCTTACCTTTACCATGCTCAGCTCATCACTGATCATGCGACCGTTTCTGACGGCAAAGTTTGTCTGTATGCAAAAAACGTACGTACACTAAGACATTGTATGTGTTCTAGTAGATTACAGTCAGCTTCAGCCGGAATAAATTACAATACGGGCACAAGAAGACTGCATCTCCCTACTTCTTTGCTCTCCGTCTCTTCTGGCCTACTGGAAGACCATTACCGGTTTCATAGTGCCAGATCGAGCTATGTTTACCTCTACTCTGTTGCTTGGCAACCGTTGATGCATCGAGTGAGTGATCACTGCGCGGCAGCGTGAAACAGAAAATTTGCGCGAAGCTGGCGTGTATTTATAAGACTTTCACAATAGAGTACTAGTTTTATTATGTCAATGTAATTTGAAAAAAGAACTCCGTGGTTTTAGTCCGCAAGCGAACTATACCGACCGAGCGACCGCCGCTTGTCGACGAAGGTCTAGTGGTCAGAGTTCCTGGCTACATATCCAGAGGTCCGGGCTCGATTCCCGGCACTACCAGATTTTCTGAGAAGTAGTGTGTCTGGAACGGGGTCCACTCATCCTCGTGAGGATAATTGAGGAGCTATTTCAAGGAAATGGCGGCTCCGGCCTAGAAAACCGAAAATAACTGCCTTGAGGATTCGTTGCGCTGACCACGCCACACCCTCTATCCGCTAAAGTTGGCAAAATTCAATATAATTTAGTTTAATTTTTTAAACCTAACAGGTTTCTAGCAGTAACGCTCTAGAACTGTATTCGGGAGGTACTCGGTTCTATTTTCAGCCAGGACAGCGGCTATCGTGAGTACGGTTTTCCTCAGTCCTTCTGGATACGTGCTGGAATAGTACGTCAATCGAACCTAGGTTACTTCCTTCCATCTCGTTTCTAGTTCGTTAGTTGTCCTACGGTTTGGTGACCCATACCCTGAGATAGTGATAAAATCGTAAAATAATAGACAAAAATTTTAAAACGGATTGTTCTGCTGGCTGAAAATAGGCGCAGGACAGCTGGACCCAGCAACCATGTCAGGTAGTCTCTTGTGTACAGTGGCCAGATTTCTGCCTAAAACAGAAAATCTACTTAATTTAGTTTCTTCATACCTCGATAGTTGCTACAGAAATGAGAAGGCCTTGGAGACTGGATCTTCTGCTGTAGAAATCTGCCGAGGAAAACCTGAATTTCATCTTCGATGCCCAGTACCCAAAATAGTTGTTGAGGAGCGGCCTTCCCGTTGCAGTCTTGTATACTTCTGTGAGTATTATTACTCCATTCTCGCCCTGTCGGGCTACCAGGAATTCGCAATCGAAAGGAATATTGATATCATCAAGAAGTTCTTCCAGGGATGACACATTCGAGAACATCAACCATGTCGGTCCGGACAGACTTGTTGTCTCTGACAGCTAAAGAGTGAATTAGTTACATGTGTGATGTACGCAAAAAACACGGGTGATTATAATGGGGAGCTATAAACAACACGATTAACTCTTGTCTTATTATAAGACGCTCTCTTGAGGCGGGAAACAATGGACTGCATGAATGTGAGTCAAATGATTCTTACCTGACGTAGAGATGACATAGCTCGTATGTCTCCAGACAGAATGACGTTCAGAGGGCCACTGTTGCGACACTTGTAGTCAGCCAGAGTATGGTTGAATGAGTGGAGGGGAACATGGGTCGTAAGAATACTTTCATCTGAGAGAAGTCGGCCTAGTTTCACTGAAGACGGCCCTGGAATAATTGAGATTGTAAATACGTCACTAAAGAGCTAAGCATAATTAAATAAATACTCATGTCATGCTTTGAATCGCATCCTTTGCATTCTTAATTTATTCACAGTTCTGTATAAAAATGAAGTTCATACCTCACAGGAAACACAGTACGTTTCTGCTACAAGAAACAACAGGTTAACACTGTTTAGGGAGAAAATTGCTGTTTTTTGTGAGTGATACGAAACTCACAGATGCACTTTGTGGGCAGCATGAAGGGTTTTAGCATATTAAAGAAGGTGGTACATGTGGTAATCACTGAATTTTAAACTAGTTAATGTCAGAATCTAGTTATATGTATTGGACGCAACTGAATATTCAAGAAACAGAAGGTAAAAATTTAGCAGCTCTTCTTGTACAGTTGAATCCCTGATTATACGAAACCATTTTACTTTATTTTTTATTTTCTAAAGGACAAGATTACAATATTTCCATACCTTTAAGCCTCCCCTCCTCTGCATAACTCCTGAACCAATCGAAGGATATAAACAAAACTTGGCGTGAACGTCATCCCGTCTCTGTTCTTCTTAATTTTCTACTTTCAGCGATACCAGCGCCGCGGAACTGTAAATTTGGGAGGTATGACCAATCTTAGGGCCACTTAGTGTGGGTTCCTGCATTGCTACGGATTATTTTATGCGCGATTCGAAGTGGATGAAATGGCATTGGATAGGGTTTCCCTGAAAGTGCCCGCGATTTTCCGGCTACTCCTCATTCCACAATTGCTTCATACTGAACTGGGCGATAGCCCTGACCAGGTAACACATTGTCACTTCCTCGGTCCAAAAATTTCTGGCTTCATCTCTAGTGCAGCCCCCTGGTCACAGGGTATGAAAGTTTTCTGATTTTTACACTAGTCTATTTAACATGGACATTGTTACTAGAAAATAATCAGTCTGTAAAAATGTAATCTCTTGAAATTATACTTACTCGTTTCTGTATGATATTCAGTAGTGAGAAGGAAAACACATCCATTTAGAAAGTAATTCTTCAATGAACTCAGAACACCAGCTGCAGTTGTCAGTTGAATCAGCCTCTCTCTTTCACAGAAACAAGGCGTTGCTATTATTAACATCATGCTGTACGATAGAATGGACGTTTGATTAAACACTCTGTAATTAATCTCCATACGGTATTTATGAGCGTACACATGTTACTTCGGGTGAAACTATGTATAGATTTAAGCTCTTAAAATTACATAATTCGTTAGTTACCTAGTGGTTCTAGCTTCAAAATAGATTTCATTGCTTTTTATTGATTTCGTTTTCTGTTCGACGGTTACCGTACTACAGTACCAACAATACTAAAAACATGTAACCTATCCCAACATTAACTTTCAATCGCCAATCATGTCTGGAGAGTAAGATCTAAAATATTGTGACGATAGTATATTCATGCAACTATTGTTTTCTGGACATTAGTCATCATCCAGTTTTCAGTTAAAGCACGACGTTTCGAAGGCTGGATTCTGTCTCCGTGTACAGGTAGAATTTACTCACTTGGGTCCGATGGATAGAGCTAGTCCCTATCTCCGGAGAGAGGAAATGGCTCTATCGATTTGGCCCAACTGAGTACGTTCCACCTGAAGACGGAGACAGAATCCAGTCCCCGAAACCTTGTGTTGTAAATAAAGACAGGAGGATGTATGGTGTCCATAAACACGATAGTTTTATATCTGGAGAATATTAAATTTATCAATTTCTTACAGTAACTTGTTCCCTTCAGTAATAAACATGCCTCTCATCAGAGACTCGTCCGTAATGTTTATGCACCATATTCAGGTATGAAACTGACCACTTCCATCTGGCAGCTGGGAAAGTTTAAGGAAGGAAAGTTTTTCAACCAAATCGGTTTATCGCATGGCTCGATAGTACTCGTTGATAGCAATAATGCTATTAATAATTAGCCACAAAGTAACAAACCCTAGTCTTCCCTTTTCGAAAAGGAACACAGATGAGATTAAAAGCAAACACAGTACAATAATTAAAACGATGAATATGCAACATAAATCGACATACTTAAACATCTTCTTAGTTGATTTATGCGAAGGAATAGTTTGTTCAGGAAGGCAGGTGTGTTAACGAAGGTTGTAATGACAGGGGCAAGAGACACGACAAAATGGCGACAAATGATTGATGCAGGCAGAGAGATATATGTCTACAGGATGCAGAGTATCGACGGGTTTACATCCTGTGCATGTCACGTGATCTGATGGTTAATTACACAACACGAAGCTGATGCAAGATTTGGGTTTGGAGGTAAAGATCTTACAAATGTTCGTGAGGGAAATTGACTGGTTGGTGACATGTGGCTCTCTCTATCGTGTGGCGTAGTAGACTAGTAGACTGTAAAACAAAAGACAGAAGGTCTCATGAATTTCTATTTCAACCGTGAAACTTATACATCAAATTTTCTCTCTCTGTTCTTGCACACACTGTTGCAATATAGGCCAGTTACGTTTTATATGTTTTTGTCACTAAGATAGTAATGAAGGAACTTTAAGCATTAAATTCAACAGATTTTGTGCCAGCCAAATAGGACTCTACAGAAACACGAGAGAAGTCTGCAGCTGCGGAATACACCAACGAAATAAACCACCGCATCAAGTCACAGAAGACGAAATAACTATGCGAGTAAAGGCTTCATGGCTCGTCAAATAAATGAAGTCATTGAGATCAGGATTCATCTTAACAATTTCAGAAAGTAAATTGTATTTTGGCAGTTGCGTGTTATGGTGTATGTGGGAGAAGGGAAAATATATTTCTCGCAATTGAAATGGATTACCGACATCTGAGGGCCAGAATACGAAACGACGAATTAAGAATAATAATTATTACGGAAAACAGTAATAAAAAGAGCGGAAAGGAAATTATTAACAAAGTTGGGAATTTTGATGGGAAGGAAAGAAAGTAGTAACCGAAACGAATATGTAACGGGAACCCACCATAAAATAGGAGAAGACGACCAAGGAAAGAACGAATTCTGCAAGGCATGGATACTGCAGTAGATGAGTGAAAGCAGATGATTGTATAACAGTGTTTCTCAACCGTCGGACCGCGGCCCGGTACCGGGCCCCGGCATCAATTATACCGGGCCCTCGTCTTATAGAAAAAAAAAAAAATCCGAGCCGCGGTCTGACAAAGATCGAGAACCACTGATATACAAGAGAGGGAGAAGGTACACATGAGGACGGCAACGCTGCAAAGACTTGTAGCAAGCTGACTATAATAAAAGTAAGTAGACAAAAGCTTAGAAATGCTTAAAAAAAAAAAAAACTCCTTATTTTAACCCCTGAAAACAAAGTGGTTGTAATATGTAATATTTTGCATTTTGCCTATGGACTCTATTCATGTGTTTCATGTGAAAAATAAACAGTTATTGTTTCGCTATACAACTTAAAACGAGTGGTCTTTATACCTGGAACACAGTGTTTTATATATATATATTATTTACTGCAATTGGGCTTATGCCCGGTGGCAGTGTTTACAAAAACGGACATACATGCAACAGAGATACATCACATACGTCTCAAGAAATAATTTTCACAGTACAGTACAAGTACAATGACCTAATACAAGTACACTTCACTTCTCTTCACTTCACTTGCTCTACTGATTTTGCTTTCCTAACCTTCTTTCTAAATATATGCGCTTTAACGGGGTGAGTTTTCTGTCATATAAAATCGTAATTTTATTTTAAATGAACTTTATGATTTAAAGTATCAAACATATTTAACTAGGACCCTATTAAATGTGAAAGTATCCAGAAAAGTACATAAATTATATTTTTAATGCAATTGCTGGGAGCACAGTTTTGCATAGAAGACATAATGTCTCTGCCACAAATTTTTAATGAAAGTTATTTCTATTTCTACATGTAAGAGCAAATCTTACTCAACGCAACAGGATGCTCAAATATAATATTACAAATATAGTAATACTGTGTTAGGTTGGCGATAGGGCTAGTGAAGTCTGTTTCGAAACTTTATTATGTACTCTTCATATCCTTACCTCGTAGTCCGTAGCGCCTGCGCTGTTTTGACATAGATGCAATGCTCACACTATCAGATCTCTCATAAGGTTCGACAAGCCATAGTTATGCGGTACTTTCTGGGTTAAATTTCCTAGATAAACCAACATATAAAAGTAACCGGAGCTCCTTTCTCTTGCTCCCCTCCCCCCGGCCCAACATTTTATCATATCACTCTTGAACAATTTAGGCAATAATGCACTGAGAACATAATGTGATGTAGTCTACAAGTAACGCATAAACAAGCTTACACTTGCCGTTATCTTTGTGTCCCCACATGAGGCAGCACAAACAGCCCAGCTTCATTTGCTGGACTGTAATATCAATGTACACGTACGAATATATGTATCTACTTTTTGTATATTTATTATTTAACATCAGCCGACCACAGTGGCTGCGTGGTCTAAGACATGAACTGTCTTCACCCGTCCGAACACTGGGATCGTAGGTTCGAATCCCACTTGAGGCATGGATGTCTGTATGCGTTTATTCTGTGTTTGTTCTGTCCTGTGTGTAGGTAGAGGTCTCGAGACGGGCTGATCTCCCGTCCAATGAGTCCTAGTGACTATGTATAGGATTATGAAAGTGAAAAAGCCGCCAGGGCCCAACAAAGGGCTGGAGAGATGTTGATGAATGAATTATTTAAGATCGATGTACGAACTGAAACATGAAATGTGATAATATGGTATACAGGCAGGAAAACTATTAGCATAATCCGATATTCTGCTGTAGGGTCTGAAGTAGACCACGAAGAACTTCAGTCAGGAGAACTTGCCGCTGGGTCCTCTCTAATAACAGCCAGCAGTACAGGTATAATCGTGCGCGCTTCTGCGTGTCCGATATACAGTATGAATCGTAAACAGCTAGTTTGAATAGTCCGAGAATGTACTGAAATTTCTGACAAGAAATGTATTCAGCAGTCGGGAGCTACCGGAAAGGCTCGAATGGTATAGCGATCAGACTATGGGCTGGACGACCGAGGAGTCAGGGTTTGATACCTGGCAGATGCAAAAGACTTTTCGTCTCTCCCAGAGCGTGAAGTTCATCACCCACTTCCATCTGATGCCGAGGCTACGGCTGCTCCACGCTTATTAATGGCGTGGTGCTTTATTACTTGAGATTATAGACGAATTCACCTTTAGTTTTACCGCAAGTTTTACAAGGATACTTACAGCTGGAGTGCTTGACACTAAGGAAAATATTTGGGCCCCAGAAATGGAAGTAGCAAGCGATTTGGAACAATGAATGGCGAGGGGTTTCATACTATGCACTCTTCTTCGATTTAGGGTAAAAATGTGCCACTTTGCCCAGGCACAATGCTTTGAACCATAAAGTACAGCTGTAATATCAAAGCTCCACTGTTTTATAACTTACGATTAGGAAAAAGAAAAAAATTGCCTGTCCTCTCACCTGAATTAAAATTGAAAGCAATTTTACTCGTTTATTCATTCTTTCTTACTGATTCAGGAGCATTAAATAGATGAAGAATGATGAACCCTTGGCGTACTGTCACAAGGAGAGCTTTGACTACTCGCACCAGAGTTATCCTCAAAACTGACAGAAACAAATGACATGCATCTAAAGTATGAACAAGGTAGATCAATATTCTGCGCTATAAGGCTACGAGTTCTTTCGCGTAAAGTAAATAGACATACTAACCCTTAGCGCAAAGTAAACCGTAGATTAATCGCTAGATAAAATATTGGGTCACTGCCGAGAAGAGAGGATATTTAAAGACGTTTGTGTTTAAGATGTATCCGTTTCACACGTTTTTCTGCGAAACCAATGAAAATTTATATTTTCTTTAAGAAAATTTATTTTCGAGTGGCTTATCAATTAAAGCAATGAAATGTACCTGTACTTAATTAAACCTTTAAAAACTGCACCTTTTCTACGTTATTAATATACCAAAATTAAGTTCCTACCTCACAGGGAAAACATTATATCTCTGTTACAAAAACTAACCGGCTAATACTATTCAAGGGGAAAATCGCAGCTTATTGTAAGAATCATGGGAAAGAGAAACAAGTTGTGTGGAAAAAATGCGCAGTTTTAGCATGGCAGAGCAAGTGATATGCACTGTAACCACTGGGGTTTAAAGGGGTAAGCACCACTCCATGAAGACATGTGAAGGAGTGGAGGTATGGCTGTCAGCATTCTAAATCTCGGAATCAGAGTTGAGTGGCCAGTATCACGCTCCTGCTGCTTTACCCGCTGTGAAATGTCCACGGTGTCTATCAGATATGAGGCTGGTTTTGCCCCAGTGCATGTCTGGACCCTGAAGAAAAAGGAAAAATTTCTTCTCCTAGCGGAAAGGCAGCCCTTATTCCCCAGTAGCCCAGCTCGTAGCCTAATCAATATGTTGACAGCTGTACCGGGTTCTCGGGTTTAAAACGGCGATTTCGTGCTCCTTTCAGAAAACTGTTACTACATTCTCCTGTAACGAGTGGCCTCCACATTTTCCATTTTTCATTTTCAGGAACCTTCCAAAGCTACGAGTTTGCATAAGCCCAAAACAGGAAACGAAAACCAAAAAATAACCGCAGATAAAAGTCAGTAACTAGAGACGTATCTTTAAATGTAGAGATATGAGAAGTGTATCTTCAAATATAATATAGAGGAGGTTGAAATTGCTATTCCAAAGTTGAAAAGTTATAAATTGTCAGGTTTTGGTTAAATTCTGGCAGAACTGATTCAAGCAGGAGGAAAAACATTTCAGTCTGAGATCCATAAACTCTTTAATTCTATTTGGAGTAAGGAAGAACTGCATGTTCATTGGAAGGAGTCTATTATTTACAAGAAGGGCGATAGAACTGACTGTAGCAATTATCGTGGGATAACACTCCAATCAACATCGTTCAAAATTGTATTCATTATACTTCACCCAATATTAAGTCCATATGTATATGAGAATATAGATGTCATCAGTGTGGGTTTCAACGTAACAATTAAACTGCTGATCAGATTCCTTGAATTCATCAATATTGAAGATAAAAATGGGAATACAATGAGACAGTACATCAGCTATTCATAGACTTCAAGAAAGCCTATGATGCAGTTAAGAGGAAGTATTTTACAGTATTCTCATAGAATTTGGGATACCCGTGAAACTAGTTAGGCTGATTAAAATGTGTTTAAACAAAATACATAATAAAATCTGTATAAGTAAACATTTGTTTTATAATTATCCTATCCAAAACTTTTTAAAACAAGGAGAGGCTTTAATGCCACTGCTTTTTCAACTAGTCTTTAGAATATGCCGTTACGAACATCCTGGAAATCTAGGTGGGACTGAAATCAAATGGGACACAATAGCTGCTGGTCTATGCTGAAAGTGTGAATCTATGATTAGAAACATAGGTACCACACAGAAAAACATGTGAACTTTAACAGACACTAGTTAGGAGGTCGGTCTAGAAGTAAACACAGAAAAAACTAAGTACATGTTGCTGTCTCCTCACCAGAATTTAGGGCAAAGTCATGACATGAAGAGAGGAAACAGATGTTTTAAAAATGTGGCGCAGTTCAGATATTTGGGAACGATGATAAGAAATCAAAACCTGACTCAGGAGGAAATTAAGAGGAGACAAACTGAACTTGAGTAATGCTTGCTACCATTCAGTCTCAAACCTTTTGTCTTCACGTCTCCTGTACAAAAACATAAAACTTAGAATATACAAAACTATAATTTTGCCTGTGATTCTGTATGGGTGTGAAACTTGGTCTCTGACATTAAGGGAGGAACATAGACTGAGGGTGTTTGAGAAGAGGGAGATGAGAAGAATATTTGGACCGAAGAGAGATGAAGTGACAGGAAATTTGAGAAAACTGCGTAATGAGGAGCTTCTTCATAACTTGTACTCTTCTCCAACCATAATTAGAATAACCAAATCAAGGAGGGTTAGATAAACAGGTAATGCAGAATGAATTGTTCAAAGAGGAATGCATGTAGAATATTCGTAGGAAAGCCAGAAGGAAAGAGACCACTAGAGAGACAAGGATGTAGGTGGGTGGATAATATTAAAATGGATCTTAGAGAGATATGATGTGGTGTTATGAATTGGACTGATCTGGCTCAGGATAGGGACTAGTGGAGAGCTCTTATGAAGACGGTATTGAACCTTTGGGATCCATAAAATATTTGGAAATTCTTGAGTAGATGCACAACTGGAGGCTTCTCAAAAAGGGCTCAGCTCCATGAAGTTAGTTGTGCCTGAATGATTGTACTATTAATGTTATTGTTGTTTGTTGATATTGAATGGGAGGCATGTTACGGAATAGTAGTTAACCATCTTACCGACTGTTACCGACATATACGCTAGGCTAACTTTCCAAAAGCGTTATAGGAGCGCTGATGGAAGCTGACAGAACGTGCAATAATATGAAATAATATATACAATGGCGTTATTGACGCGATACTAATGGCCCCTAACGTTCACTATCGATACTAACAGCTTAGAGGCGCATGTGCATGCACGCATATGTGCCCATACGGCAGTTCCGGATCTGGCTATCATTTGCAAAGATGGCGACAGCTCCAATTGAATCCATGATAGTAGAAGATAAATCTGAACCTGAGAAACCAGTTGATCGCGAAAAAGTAAGTTATATTTGAGTGGTTATGACGGAACGTTTAACATGAAAGTGTTCAAGGTAAATTTTTGATACTCTTTGTTTGGAGTTGGATGAGACGTAAATACAAACATGAAGGCATACCGGTTTGGCATTACTGGCCCTTCACCTCGACCATCAAAATACAAACGCAGTACCATTTCAGGATATGCCCTACAGAGACAGTTGATTGACATGAAACATTTTTGCAGGATTTATTTGCAATTTCGTGTGGTAGGTGGTTGGAAATTACAGGGTTGAATTTTCTATGGAAGTTTTAAGTAGTTTATTAATGTGCATTTTTGTACCAATAGTATAGTACATTTTCTGAAATATTTGATGGTATGTTTAATAAATGTACGAAATTATACGAATGACACTCTGTTGGTTTATGATATTATAGGAAACATTTGTACAAATGTCTATTTAATTTGTGTATTTTCAAAATCGTGCTAATTTTGCACTGACATTACAGTTTTAAATGAAAGATTACATTCCAGTATATTTATTTTTCCCAGACTTGTCCCCTCTTGTTACGTGTGTTCTGCAGTACAGGGCGTCATCATAATATGATAGACTACAGTAGAGGCAATGTTCCTGCCAATGAATTACAGATTTATACCTGGTAAGACCATACAAATATATACTGTCTTGTAATTTGCAGGCAGACAATAAAATACTGATATGTGTGCAGAGTAAAATGTTTAAGTTGAAATATTCTGTACTGACATTTTCATTTCTTGAAATAGCACAGAAGCACATATTCATTTGTTAACATTTTAACTGTGTGTTTTTACACCAAGTGAATCATGATAAAGTGATACCTTTATTTTATATGACTTATATGTGGTGTTTGTATGGATATCATATTGTCGTTATTAGCATGTATGTTTTGAAACTCTGTATCTTTACTGGCCGAATATGCATGTTATATAATTCTTGCTATAATAAATATTATATGGAGTCTAGGGAAAGATGTCCCATGGATGGTGGGAGTTACAGTGCTTATGACTTCCCCCTTTCTGGTTGTATTTCCCTGCCGTCCCTTTTAGTGTGAGTCATCTAGCCCAAAGCACTTGTCAAGTACACACACGAAGAACAGAATAATCAGACGTTTAATGCAAAGAACCAAACATCCACACAAAGGACAGAAGATATGGAGATGCGAAGATAAGACCTATTGAACTATACATTTACTGTAAAAACTTTTAAGAGATACTTTTTTTATAAAATTTTGTAACATGTGACTGTGAACTGTATTTTAGGATCTACAAGCATAAGCTAATTTTGTTGTATCGTCATGCATCTGAGGATGGCCCCAAGGGGTAAAACCATGTAAGGCCAGACATCTAATTTGATCTGTTCAATTAACTTTGGTACATGGGATGACTTATTATTCCAGTAATTACCAGGAAGTGTAATGGTGACAATATTGCATCCTAAAATAATATGTTTTGATATAAAAGAAGGAAAGGTTATTGTTGGTATCAGCTACATCATTTTGACAGGGATACATTGAATTTTGGAAGTAGTTGGTTGAGGCACTATGCTACAAGCCAGAAGGTCGCAGGTTCAAATCCCATTGAGGTCCTTGGATTTTTTCAGTTGACCTAATCCTTCCAGCAGCACTATGGCCCTGGGGTCGACTCAGCCTCTAACAGAAATGAGTACCCAGGAATATTCTTGGGAGTAAAGGGTGGCCAGTGTGTAGGACTGACAACCTTGCCGCCATCCATGAGCCGATTGTCTAGAAAATGTGGGAACCTCAACCTATGGGCCTCCACAGCCTGTTAGAGGGATACCATTACTTTTTTTTTTTTAAAGAATACCCTTTTCCTCTGTTTGTATATATGTATATGAATTCAAAACTGTTTTTCTTCAGGATGGATGCAACACTCCGTGAAATTACCAGTTTGGTTAAGGAAGTAAATCCAGAGGCCAGAAGAAAAGGGACCTACTTTGATTTCTCCTTAGTTTTCCCAGATGTGAGGAGCCCTGGATATAGAATGAGAGAGATAGGAACAACATGCTCTGGACAAAGAGGTTCTGATGATGGTAAAACTTTGGCACAGGCAAGGTAAATTGAATAGAGCATTATGAAACTTAATGTTATGTAAGTGATTAATTCACTTGGAGGAAGAAGCCAGAGATGCAGGCAAAACATGGAATGAAGTAAAAAGACTGGCAGCCCAATAGGAGCAGATGGAGGAGTTTCATGGATGCCCCGTGATCCAGAAGGAACTACAGGAATTGACTGAATGAAGCGATTTAATATTAAATTGCTAAATTCTGAAAGCATATCAGATTAATGCATATGGCTGATGAATGGCAGAAGTCTGTTGTTTATGCAGATATAACATTTATAGGTGTTTTAACTTTGAAATTGCTTTTGCATTCCAGGTTTTGTATTGGTGATTACATGGACATTTCCATTACTCCACCAAATCGCGTAATGCCAATGATGAGAAGACGGCCATACTGAACTGCTGGTAAGACTTGTGAAACTGACTGGTGTATTTATTGAAATGTTTTCCCTATGCACTATTTGAAGACAGAAGAGTGTCCGTGTAGGATTTGAGGCTCTCGCAATGGTACTTATGGATAGTTCTGTGTTCTCGGATGTAATGCCATCTACTCCTGTCAAGGTCAGTTAACATTTTGGAGGAACCTGTCATCTTCTTCAGGGTTGAAGTGTAAGGGAAGCAAGAAACCAACATGAAGCAGGAAGTAAGTAAAGCTGGTTTCTTGCTTGGCTTACACTTTGACCCTGAAGATGAAAGCGACTTATTCCTCCAAAAGGGTGATTCGATTTCAGTGGGCTACATGGCATGATATCCCAGAAGGCAGAGCTTTTCAAAAGACTGTTATTCATATACCGAGGAAGTAGCCAATTAGGGCCATTGATATTGATATTTCACTTGACAGAAATTTTTATCATAAAATGAAAATTATGAAAAGAAGAATTCAAATTGATTCTGATTGTAAATTTTAAAGATTCTGATTGTAGAACAACTCAAAAGAGTTTTAGACTAGCTTTCATGGATTCATTGTCCTCATATAAATATGATTTTCTTTTATTGCTAGTTGGGTGGGACAAAGTCCCTTGTACTGCGGCCACTTTTGGCCTGTTGTACCAGCCCCAGATGATAGGTGAGGGTGATTGTGGAGAAATTGGTGGAATGAAGATTGGCAGGGGAAACTGAAGTACTCGGAGAAAACCTGCCCCAGTGCCATTTTGTCCACCACAAATCCCACTTGACCAGACCCGGAATCAAACCCGGGCCGCCGCGGTGGGTAAATATGAGTTGATACATTCATTTTTTTTTGGTATTTCCCGTGCTGATGCTTCACTCTCATTCAAATAGTACTGGTGTGGAATTTTTCGTAAGATTGTATGTAATTGTTTGATTATCAGTGTGCTTTATTGATCTTCTCAAAGACTTAACAGTAAAATATGTGAATATGTACTTTGAATATCTGTTGAATAATGAATTAATTGTTACAGCAGTTTGGCTGATGAAGATGAGATATTTCAGAAGAAATGGAAATGTTATGTACCAACATGTAAATATGGACTTCAGTAATCACATGTGATTCTATATAAGAAGCTTACAAGTTATGATGCATAATTGTCACTTTTTCCATAGATATTCTTTAAGGTGAAACTTCATGTGTAAGCATTCAAAATACATGGTCTTAAAATCCATGCCTGTGAATTTCAGTTTTGATTTTCTGTCATTGGTTTTGTACAATATTGAATATACCCAGCAAAAGTATCGTTTGCATGATTCATCCTGTACCCTGTCTTTTAAAAGAAGTGGTATAGTGTGAACTTTCCACAAAACCACATGAAGTGTTTCAGTTTGAAAATTCTGATATACAGGACAGTGGATATTGTATCAGGAGGCACGGTGGCAAGAAACTCCTTTCATCTGTGACAGGTCTCTCTGGGGATGATCATTCCAAGGTGTGACTGTCTCCAAGCAGGGTTGAGTTGTGTACTGATGGCAGATTACTTCAAGAAGTGCGCACATATTATGCATTTAAGGTAAAAAGAATGGGAGAAGTAGAGAAAAGTTGCTACATAATAACTCCATGTAACACGGTCATTGTGAATCTAAAAATTGTTTAGCTATTCCAGAAGTTCTCAAATTTGTACACAACCTGAAGGTTCATCACTATGTTTGTAACATCTCATTCTTAGCTAGATAAATCCTTGCAACATTTCTTTAAGATTTGTTTTAATATTATCCTTTCATATATGTCTGGGCCTCCTGAAGTGGCCACTTCCCATCAGATATCCAGACTAAAATTTTGTATTCCTTATGACAAATACTTTTCCTACATCATCTTCCTTGATTTGATCATCCCAGTGTGTCTCTTACATAAATTAAAGAACAACTCAAAAGAGTTTTTTTTTTTTTTTTCATGTGTGGGCTCCAGTGATGGCTCTGCAAATGTCTAAGCAGTATTCCCTTTCCTGCCACTCATCCTAGAATATCAGGAGTGACAGGTGCAGCACCACTTCCCTTATTCGCTGTTTCAAGTGCTGCATGTTGTGGATACAAACACTGTGGACGATTCGCTTCACATGCTCCCAGAAATAAAAATCCAGAGGTCAGGTCTCGGGAATGTGGGGGTCATTAATTCCATCTGTCCCTCCCAATCTGGCACCATGGAAATATCTCATCAAGAAATTACATAACAATGTTGGCATAGTGCACTGGAGCACCATATTGCCGAAAGATCACATTGTTGTCATCAATTTGGGGCACTGCAAACAGTTCCAACATGTCAAATTGATTGTGTGAAGTCACAGTGCATTCCACAAAGAAGTACAGGCTAATCACCTGATCTCTGGTAAGCGCACACCACACATTAACTTTAGGGCTATCATGCTTATGTTCAACAAAATCGTGAAGGCTTTCATTAGACCATGTTCTTATGTTGTACCGATGAACATGTCCCAGAACATGAAAAGTGGCCTCATCACTGAACATAGCTGTATAGCTCTTTGCCATGCCTCAAATAGTGCTGGAGAAAATAATAAGTCGTAAATTATCAGTTTAATTAAAAGGAATATTTAATGTAATGTGTGTTGTTGGATATTAACCTTATACAATATATAAAAGGCCGTTTAATACATATTTGTCATCTTGTGCTAATATCGTGTAGTTTCTGTAACTGACATATGGTTTTAAGTCTATTTTGATACATCATTTGATAAGATAACATGTACATAATTTCACATCTTTTATACAAAAGCCAGTTCAGTGTATGTTTTTTGGTGATATTTGTTTACCTGTGCTCACAGGAATACTGACCTTGGGGAGAACACTGGGTTATTGAAGGAATGTTACACAAATTTTGTTATAAGTGAATAACAGCAATCTAGCAGGCTATCAGAATCCATTGAAAACATGAATTATATATTTTTAATATAAAAATTAGGGAGAAAATTATATTTTAGTGTACATTACTTAGTACTAAATTTAATTAAACTCTTATCAAGTGATTTCAGAGAAATATGGGCGTATGAATATTACAGATTTTTCATTTTATGAACTTAAAAGAAGAAAATATATGAAAACTAGTGATGTCTGCGTAAAGTTGCTATACTGGTGTTTCAGCTGTTATTTCATCTGTAGCAGCAGTACATGTGTAATGTAAGAATTACTGTATTTGGAAATTAGTGAGGACTACATGACCTAAAATATGGACTGAACTCAGTCTGAACATGTTCTGTAGCATTTCATTCTGCCCTAGGTTGTTTGGATAGATATTACCATAATAGGCTGTCAATTTGTCAGTAAGACTTGTACAAAAGGGTAGCACAAGAACAGGGATAATTACTGTGATTGTCTTTTGTGTTTAAAGTCTTATTTCACAACATGTATTGGTTTGTATTTGCTTTCATTTCACAATATCCATAATCTACACTGCAGTTTTAAATTATGTTTATAGAGGTTTCAGTTTCTGTACTGAACTGCTGGTTTTCTTGCTTTGTTTTTGACAACAGACTCTAGATTAACAGCATCACCATTTGGCAGTACGTATTGGTTATTCTGATAGTCTACGAAACCTTCGCTACTCTCTTTCCTCCTCTCTTCTTCTTCTTTATCACAGGGTATGCCACTGTTATATGTGTACTCTCTTCGCAGACCATCGGGGTCAGTGTAACCATATTTGCCCCTTACAACACAGTCGACACCGATGGTTTCTTCTTTGAAACTTCCGTCATCATTTTCATAACCCCATGTGATGCTGCCATCAGGGTTATCTTCACGGTAACGCCTGATAATCTGTGAAAACCACAGTCATAAATACATCAGAATTTCATTGATAAAGGTGTGATGTCAAGATACTGTTGAATTTTCATGATGAACAGGTGGACAATCCACTGTTCTGATAATGTTGAGCTTTTCACCAAGAACAAATGCTTCTTTAAAAGAGTAACCCGTCAGGAAGTTGGGAGGTATGTTTCTAAGCATGACATACATACATGTGTTTTAAGATTTTGGGAAAACAGGACAGTAATCAGCAAGACAATTTTGATGCTGACTGATGGTAATCAAGAAGTGCTCTCTGTGAAAGACCACTAAGAAACATGGAGCCTTTGCATGTTACATGTGAGAAGCTGGCAGAAATAAACCAAAAGATGTTAACTGAAACTTGAAATTGCTGCATTCTCTTTAATTTTGATAAAAGGTTTACATTATTGTATTTAGAGAGTACAGGCTGTGTAAGAAATCCAACTGATTTTGAATCATGCTGTAATTTTCACAAAAACTTCCAACCCGTTACTGAGGATGGAATTCTAATATTTCACTTCTTCTCCATGTCTTAAAATACACCTGTGGGTAACATGTTCTGAAAAATATATACACTTGTTTTTCAGTGTTTGAGGAATTACTGAAAAAATGTTCAACAATAGAGACTGTTGGATTGTTCACTTACTGACTTTCAGTCTGAAGAAAAAATAAACTGTTTTTCATTAATACTTTAGAAAATATAATGCCATGAAATCCCTGCATTTTTTAGACTCTCTTACTTGACAGGTTTTGAATTTGGTACTGCGGTGGACAATTGTTTTCCTCATTTGAAGCAACAAGACTTGTCTTACAGTTCTTCATACCTGAGCTACTGGTTTCTTTGCACGCTGTGGCTTGCTGAACTCTTGCTGTGGAGGTGGTTGTCTTGTGATCTGTTGTTGTCTTGCATTGTACTGCTGTGGAGGTGCTTTTGTATTCTGAGACTCGGCAGGTATTGGTCTTGACTATAAATGAGAAACATTCCTTAATTGGATGATGTTTATTTATACTTGGCTTGACTTTAGTTGAGTTTATTATGATGCAATTTAAAGCACTACTAAAGGCTGTTGGGATATTTAATTCTGTGGACACATTCCTTCTTGAGAAGCTGATAATCACACATCTGTTCAAGAATTTCTCTACCTTATATAGTATATTATTTTGCTCACAAAGATTCCAGTACTTGAACCTATCCCAAACCTGATAAAACCAGCCCACCCTCATAATATACTTTTTTAATTCAGCATAATATCCTCCCATATATTCCTGTAAGTTGGATGCACTTAAAAAGAACCTGCACTGTCTGAAATGATTTCTAGATTGATTACAGATTTAGACCAGACCGAAAATATATCTCCTGAATGTAGTTAATTAGGGAACTTTCTTACACTCAAAATGCACCATGATTTAGTTCCAAAATATTAGTAATTAATTTAAAGCAGACATAAAAATGCATACATTGTGTTCTGTGTATCATATATTATATCATAATGTGCTGATTTTAATAATAATGTTATATTTGGAAGTGTGGGGTAGTGAGGGAAAGATGATGGTGAATCAAGTGGGATAATTCTGGAACCTTGAAAGCGTGGCTACAACTAATTACATAAAGTAAAATGAGGAAATATTACATCTTTCTTAGGAATGATCTGCATTTAATTTAAATAAAAATGTCTGAGACAAAACATGTTACACATTATTTTAACGAATAATGAATGGTCTCCAGATGCTTACTTGTTGGCGAAACTGCTGGCGTGCATGTATTATATCTCCGGCAGGTTGAATGAATTGCTGACGGGTAGGCACTGGCAGGTCCTCAACTGGATGTCTGAGTTGCTGGCGACTAGAAACTGGAATATCTTCATCTATTGGAGATGCATTTGCAAGTGGCCTTTCAGGCCTGAATGCTGGTTTTGTTGGACGGAACACAGCAGGCTGGAGATTCTGTGGACGTGATGGCAGGCTAGCTGAGAAGGGAGTTGAACTTGGGATTGAAACAGGTTGACTCTCGGCATCCAGATCTATTTCCGATTCATCTTCAATTGGGTCTTCCTGTATGGGTCGAGGGGCTATTGTACTCAGGGGTGGAAGCGGACGTGCTTGGGCTAGAATGGCAGGTAAGGGAAGGGTGGGTCCTAATGGTGATGGAGTACTTCTGGATATCTGTGGTTCTCCACTGCTCAGAGTGGATGGATACCCTTGTTGCTGTAGCCTTCCGCCTCGTCCTGGTGCACCAGGGCGACGAATTCTCAAAGGTGGTGGTACCTCAGATCCAACAGGACCTTGTAAAGCTCTTCCTTGTGTCCCTTGAATCCTAGGACGAAACTGTGGTCGACCTGCAGGAACAGGGACAGCTCCAGGAATGATGGCCCTTTGTGGCAAGGCACTTCCAAGATCGTCTTCATACTGTGCAAGGACACACCCGCAAAGTATTACCTGCAAGGACATCAGATTGTCCTCTCTTACTGTGGCAGTCTTGTTTGTTGTGAAAAGAGATGGTAAGGGGAGTTCATTCAACCCACACTTGAAATGCCTGATATGTTTTTATTACAAAATTAAGTTTTTATTATGCTTCATAATCGCATTGTGGTGTATTATATTAAACTAGTGTAATGCTCATCGAATATTCGGTGGCGACACTCTTCGCTTGTTATGTAAATTGTCATACGTCTGTCTCATTCCGTCACTTCTACCGCAGTCCTTTCCAAACACTTTTATTTATCCGTCCCATCACCATTAANCGCGTTGCATGACATTGACAACCAACAACCACTGCCTGACAGAATTAACTGTGTTTTAATCTATATGTTAAGTTTAACATCTGTTGCTACTCCTAACATTTTGTGCCAACATCATCTTAGTTTCTTTGTTGCATGCAAGGACTTCTAAGATGATAATGAATTTCTTGGATTACTGTAATATGTAGATAACTCTACAGTAAACAGTAAAGTTGTAACAGAATTGGTTTAAGAGTTTGCAGGGCTCTAGAACACTGAAAAATGTTTTGTGCTGTGGGTATGTGTTAGATGCTTAATCATTCATTAGAACCAATGGAGAGACAGAACAGAAAATATTGTTGCACCTAAAATCCTTAGGGGCTCTCCACCCTCTCATGTTAGACAAGTTGCATGCCTGCTCGCACAGAGTCCCATAACTCAGGGACTCCAGGTCGCAAATGCCTTAGTTCACCCATGAGTTTGATGGCACCATCTGTAATGTTCTGAGGACAATCCAGAAACTGGCCATGTATTCATGTCATGCCTGGAATCTTTCTTTTGCTTGAAGGCTGTTTGTTTCATCTCATGAACTTGCAGTCTATGAACAAATCATGGCGCTCATCCCATGGCCATTCTGTTCGTGGTGGGTCTCTCGAACAGTGGGAATATGCGTTCAAACCTTGTTCAGTGCGTGGATGTATGTGCACAATTTCTCGTGAAGTGCTGTGTAGTCTGGCCTTGCCGAATATCTGAAGGATTTGTTGTTCCAGAATTAATTATGAATCAGAACAAACCAAATGTAGTAGCTACAGAATTATGAGAATCGTTGCTGCTTAGTAGTTACAAGTCAAATTTCAATTTCTGTGTCACGTATAGTTTCTATATTCGTTTCCGAAAATCACTTTGTGTCGGCCCAGCTATCTATGCAACGACCCTGAGTCTATGGGACCGATCTCGTTGAAACTTGGTGTGATAGGCCCTCATACTTATGTTGATCCATGTTGTTCTTGGTTTAGTTTGATTCATTTTATGGTCATTTGATTTTAGAGTCTACATTAATTTCTATGTAAAAGGTAAGGTAAAGTTGTCTCTGTGCTTAACTAATTAAGCATTATGCCATGAAGGCGTATGGGAGAGTGGGTATATAGATCCACATTTTCTTGACTTCAGCACTAGTTGGAGGTGAGTGGTCAGCTTCACGCCCCGGCCGCTTTCCCCCCCCCCTCGAGGAAAGAGCCCCCGGTACCCATTGGATAAGAGGTTGGGTGGTTCCCAGAGCCGGTCTGAATGACGTTGAGAAGAGAAAATTCTTGACCCTACCGGGACTCGAACTCCGACCTCTCGGTCGTCCAGCCCGTAGGCAGTCGCTATACCTACTACGCTATCTCGGCTCATAAGTTTAATGTATATGCTTTATTTCTGTTCTTTTACAGGTTTTGATGACATTTACTCTTTTTATACGCGTTCCGTTAAGTTTAAAACTCATTCACATTATTTCGTTTTAAGGATCACTTTACTAGGGTCTTGAAAGGAACTTTTACAAATGTTTCTGAGTTTCTTTTACGGAAATCGGTGTATGACACTTCGTTTATCATGTGAAAGTTGCATTCACTTCTCTTTATTTTTAGGCATCATAATGTATTCACCTATTTTTTTACTTATCTTGTCAAGTATTCACGTAAGAAAATAAGAATTTCGTAGAATAATTAACAAAACCTAACGTCTCAGTGTTTCTCAGTTCCACCGTGTCCATGCGTGTAATTGTTTACTTCTAAATATTATTTCACACATAATTTGTACTTGTACGCATGTTTGTTATTCATCTCCACACCAAGTTTTACCTTGTAGGTTGGATCAAACGGGAGTTCTTCTGGTTTATATTCATGAGGTGTCCAGTTTGAATCTGCCCCGGGAAACCGATTATTCTGAAGTGTTACGTGTTTTTTTCCAGTAACCCCAGGAAATTTCCGTGAAATAATGCCTCATATTAATCTATGATTTTTTTCTTCCACATCTCGCCCCATTCAACACTCACTAACATCCTACTACCTAACTCTATACAGTGTAAGATGCTGACATCGTCATAAAATGCACTATAAAGGAGAAATAAATCCAGAGAAAATATCACACGCTTAGCTTCAATGGTTCATTAGTTATCGCTGTCGGACTGAAAGCTAAAACAGACTTCGCACGGCAGCCATGTTCCTTTTTGTAATTTATGACAAAATCGCTTAGTTTTCCAAGATACTGTCGCGTACGAGGTGTTTACGTGACGAATATAACGGGTTCTGGATTGGATGATAGCATTTGTTGGCACTTCTTTACAATTAAAATCAATTAATACAGCTCACAATCAATGACTGTTTAAGACTCGCTCCATTCCTTGCTGGGCTACGAGTGTCTTCTCGACCACTGTGATGACCGAAGAGTTCCTTGCGACTGAATCATTGAACTCTCTTACGAGTCGAGTCTTATGTTACAACTGACGGTCCGTCGGCCAGTCTCTCTTTGAATAAAACACCTATCTGGGGTTTACGACCAAATTTTATTACTGTCAGACAGTTGCGGGTTTGTTGATTTGGGGCGTTCTCTCTGTCGAGAGGTCGGGTCTGTCATTTACAATTGCTACTGGCCTTCGCCAGCGCAGGATTTCTCGGGTCCGAGTCCCTTGAGACTCGCGACCATATTTTACTGTCTCAGAATCGAGACTTCCTTTTTGTTGCCTCCTACGATTCGCTGGGCTACGGTGGAGGTATTCGACCTCGCCCTCCATGGGATACTCCCTTACAAAGTCAGAGTTACTTTGCAACTGGCTGTTTACTCCCTTTTACGACTCTTTTATAACTACCAGGCTACCCAAATATAGATCACCACCTCGAGCAGTTCGTGTTATTCTGTTTTTTCCCGTTGCCATGGGAAAGTGCTTACCGAACCGTTGCCTAGCAAATGGATTACTCCGTGTCTGTTTGTTGCCTCAGGAACGTGTTTACCGAACCGTTGGCTAACAGTGGACTTCCGCTCTTGTTCCGCTATTCCAGCTTTCAGGCGTCATGTCACAATATAGTACATACATCGTATCACGTTCCTATATTTAATGGCGATGATGCAGCTCCCATGTCACAAGTCGCGCATCCGCCATGTTATTGAAAGGAGTCAAAAATCGAAGAAATAGGTGGTTCCAAAAATGGTCACTTTTCCACTTTTCAGAATATGCGTAATTTATTGTGTACTTGAATTTGGATACTGCGATAGCGTGCGCGGGTGCGCGGGCCGCCGGTTGAGAGACATCTGAATGGGATAAACATTCTGGTTTTATACAAGTCGAGACATCTCTTGCAGTTGATAAAACTTTCACTCCTCTCAGGTCGCCTATACGCCTTTGAAATTAATTTTTCTTGGCACAGGTAACATTGTTGGCCGTTTGCCAAGAGACTTGATGCTGATTAATAAAGCGGACTTCAAGGATTGTCTGTTACATAATTTAAGAAATAAATTAACATTACTGTAAAACAAGCTTATACAAGGCGTACAGTGTACACTTAACATGCAAGTTAACCAAACAGCTCTAACCTCGCATTTTGGAGGTGCTCAGACTTCCTGAATGAGATGTTCGTATCCCCCCCCCCACCCAGTCCTTTCAACAAATGTTGGGATAGTACCAGTATTTCAATTTAGGTCACGAGCGACCCAAATTCTCTCCCATTCATCATTTATCTTTACTCCTACCACTTGACGCTTTACTGTCTAGTTTCTGAGAGCATGGTAAAATAAAACAGGAGAGGCCGGCAGACGGGTTTATGAATATGATGATTAAGGCTATTATAATCTCCTCCGTTATAATAAGCAAATATTAAATTCTAATGCATCTGTTCATTCTTAGTTGGTACTTATTGAAACTGACGAGAAATCAAAATTATAGGCCTATACTGAATGAATAAGCAATCAGTCTTGAGGCTTCGCTGTACACTGTTATTGTACACAGAATGAAATATCCTTTTTTTCGTTCTTCTGATCCAAAGGTAGTGTTTTAGTATATTGGACTGCTCGTTTTGTTTTCTCATCTCTAATATAATAGTAATATCATAAAATACATAATTATGACACAATTAAAATAAATAATTTTCCGTGATATTCCTGTGTTGTCTAATTATGATTATCTAAATTTCAGTCATATGCTTTCTCTGTTATCCACTGGCCAATATATCGTAGTACCATTTGTTTGTATTTTAGTCTGTTCATTAAATATTCTTTCTTGTGATGTTAAGTTTCATGTTTCGGCTGTAATAGATAAGATATGAAAGCTTTCTTTTTAGTTTCATTTTACTTCTAAGTGTATTTTTGTTTATTCGACATACTTAGAAGTGTACTACTTGCTTTGGCTTATAATAAATATGTCAAATTCTTCGCAAGTCATGACAGAAGTACCCTCAAATATGCCCCTTCACTAATTCTACTCTCATTCTACTTCTACTATCGGTCCACTCGTTTCCCGTTATGAAAAAGAGTCTACTGTTTTCAGACGTTTCTAACGGGATGAGGAAAGTTTATAACTCAATGTTTTTTAGCTCATTAAATTCACGGTTTGATAAAAATTCTGATGTTTCTTTCTTCTATAGGCATATATAAAAGAAAATACGGGGCACGCGGTAGCGTAGTTGGTTGAGGCACTATGCTACAAGCCAGAAGGTCACGGGTTCGATTCCCGATGAGGTCATTGGA